TCCGCTAGAGCCAGTAGTAGCTTGTGCTGGTTCACAGTATCCAACGCCTTTTCATAGTCTACAAAGATCAGTACTAGTGGTTTGTTATATTCTACACATTTTTCTATTAGGGATTTTATCACTTGTAGGTGATCATTCTTGCCGTAGCCAGACCGAAAACCAGCCTGCTCACAGGGTTGATAGCTGTCGAGTTTGTTGGTTAGCCTTTTTGTGATTATTGCCATGAATAGCTTGTCTACGTGGGACAGCAAACTGATCGGTCGATAATTTTGCAGATCTGTAATGTCGCCCTTCTTATGCATAATGACAATGACAGCATTTGTCCATTGGGAGGGTGTTGTACCCTTAAGAAGGCAAGCATTAAATAGTTTTTAGATTACATATAGCAAGGTTGATCCTCTTCCTTTGATACATTCAATTGTTATGTCATCATCACCAGGCGATTTGTTGTTTTTCATATTTTTTAAGGCTGATTTGATCTCACTGATGGAACATCCTCCGATCCTACACTTTGAACTTTTGGTATTGGCTGTTGGTTTGCTGGTTCAACTTGGTTTGAGTACAGCTCCGAATAGAAGTCCTTCACTATTCTTGTCATCTCGTCCCTACTTGAAATAATGTTCCCTTGTTTGTCTGCCAACTTACAAATATTCCTTTAGTTTAGTTAGTTTGCGTTGCACTTTCATGCTCTTATTTTCTTTTATTGTTTTTGCCACCTGTATTGTGTTATATGTCCTGATATCTTTTCTGATAGCTTTAGATATATCTTTATTTAAGTGTGATAAGCGGGTGGAGTTTGTTGTATGTTTGTCTAGCATTTCTCTTATTGATTTCATCATATTTGATGTGTTCAAACTCAATTTCTCTTCTTTTTTCCTAATTTTGAAGGAAGCAGCTTTTTTGTCTTGCAACTTGTATCGTATGGTTAATTTGTTCATTTAAGTAATCAATATTTATTTGTTCTTTATTAATGTTTTTAAGATGTTGTAGGCTAGTCGTAACCATTTCCTCATAGGCATTTGCATCTTTATTATCTCTCGGGATAAGCTTTCGAGTTGTATTTATCATCTTTCTTCGTTCTTGTCTTACGTTCATAACAATTCTTGTTCGGACTAGACGGTGATCACTACCAACAGAAAATTTGTTTAGTACAGTGACATCTTGTATTATATCTCTCCTGTTCGATATTACAAAGTCGATCCCATTCTTCGTAACATCGTCAGGGCTCCGTCAAGTCCATTTGCGTTGGTTATTCTTGTTCAAAAAGGTGTTCATACATTGCAATTTATGGTGCAACATGAAGTGCAAAGGCATGGCCCCTCTATTGTTTCTTTCTCCATACCCATGAGGACCAAGAGCAGTTTCGCTATCGTCAAGTTTTTGACCTAATTTGGCATTGAAATCAACTAGGAGCATTGTATATTTTTCCTGGTCTTGTTGTATTGCTTAAGAGATATCTTCGTAAAAGCTTTCGACTTCATCGTCATTGTGTGTTGATGTTGGGGCATACGCTTGGATAATTTTCACTTTGTTTCTTGTTTGATTTCTAGTATTTCTAGTACTAGGTATATGACTCACGTTCAGATACTTTGGATTTTTTTTACATTGTTCTTATGTGTTTTATTTATGAAGAAGCCTACTCCTCCTTCTAGTATTTATTCATCTCCTTTGTAGTAGAACAAATACCCTGACTTAAGTTCTATTTGATCTTCTCCCTTACGTCATACTTCACTAATTCCTAAGACATCCCATTTGATGTGTCTTAGCTCTTCTTCCAGCTCGTGTATTTTTTGGTCGGATGATAGTATTCTTATATTATAGGTGGCGATATGCATTTTCGTTTTTTCATGATAGCCCGGTGATTCTTCGCACCCTTTGCTCTCAGTCTTGTCTGATTGCTACCATAATCAGGAACCATTGAGCTGCCGGAGATTAAGGACCTTTGTATGCATTGAATATCCATGTGTTCTTTGCGGGGTTTTTAGCCTGTACTCTACCACGCTGGCCATTGCGGGTTGGTAGGGAACATTTCCTTAATCCTCGGTTAAACAGTTATACTGTTGTGACTCGGTCGCCAAAGCCTCGTTAGTTGTCTAGCTGGGTAACTGATGAAATCAGCTACCACTCGTGCAGGTGAGGTTGACATTTGGACAGGCCTTCATCCTTACTACCTTCGTCCTTTACCCTTACAGAATGCATATTATATCTTAAATACCTTCCTCTCTGGGTTTACAAGGATTTTAGTATTCCTCGGAATTATTCTTAGCTAGTCGCCACCCACATCCATTGGACCGTTCTACTGATTTCTTCTGTATGGTTTAATTTGCCAGTCTTGTTTCTATGCCCATTGATAGGTCGTCTGCAATATTTACCGTTATGTCTGATGAGACAAGGCACGTTCTACCTCTACTGTGATGATGTCAGTCAATTCTGCAGACCTAACATTAACGACGTTTTCATCACCTATGTAAACAGGGGTAGGATTCCTGTTTGAATAAGCTCTTTGTAGAATTTCTCTACTATTGTAGTATAACATACCCCGGGTTCGTCCAGTAAGATTGAACGATGAGAATTTTTATTATCTTTAAACAACAAATCTTCTGAAAAACGAAATGAAAAATAAATAGGACCTACGTTGTGGAAACTTACTCAATTTTACTTACTGGACATGCGCCCGACATAGCAAATATTTGGGAAATTTAAGGGAAGCTGTGATATGTAAAAGAAACGAGAAATTTGTGAAACGTCTACTTTGTTATTAAAGTAAATCGTACCGTTCTCATCCTGGAACTAACGAGGGGAAAGAGCACGGCAAAGAAACCCTCGATCTAACATTCCTCAAAAATCGAAATATACTGTGTCATTTTAATCTTAATTGTGAGTCATTAATTCAATTAAAGTTGAAACTAGGTACCGCCCCTGTTCTTGTGCTAAAATTTTAATTACGCACACTACATTTAATCAAGACTACCTATATCCTATATTCAATACTGAACAGTTTTTTTTGTTATTCAGCCAATTTCCCAGCAGGTACTGAGGTCCCATACGGGAAGCTACTCAGCTATAGTTGTTTTTGAGCCAATATCTCTAGATTGATTATTTCAATTTGCTACATAATGCTTCATGCTGCTTCATAATTTTATTATTTTCAATGACCGTTGTGATCATTTCTGTATTGTAGTTCCTTATATATTGTTGAATGTTTTTCTTTATTATCGAATCTATTTTTCCCCGTTCAGATGTGCCTTAATCATGACTTTAACTCGGTAGGTTTCGGGTCTTCGTTTCGCAGTTCATTAGTTGAATTTTTCCTTGTTTAACATATTTTGCTTGTGCAATATTATATTATTACTATTATCAATTTTCATTACCTTTTAAACAACAAATCTTCTGAAAAATTAAATGAAAAACAAATAGGACCTACGTTGTGGAAACTTACTCAATTTCACTTACTGGACATGCGCCCGACATAGCAAATATTAAGAAAATTTAAGGGAGGTTGTGATATGTAAAAGAAACGAAAAATTTGTGAAACTCTACTTCTTTATTAAAGTAGATCGTACCGTTCTCATCCTGGAACTAACGAGGGGAAAGAGCACGACAGAGAAACCCTCGATCTAACATTCCTCAAAAATCGAAACATACTGTGTCATTTCAATAATAATTGTGTCATTAATTCAATAAAAGTTGAAACTAGGTACTGCCTCTGTTTTGTGCTAAAATTTTAATTACACATACTACATTCAATCAACACTACCTATAATCAATACTGAAGAGTTTTTTTGTTAGTTAGCCAGTTTCCCATCAGGTACTGAGGTCTCATACGGGAAGCTACTCAGCTATAGTTGTTTTTATGCCAATATCTCTAGATTGATTATTTCAATTTATTAGGATATTCTCTCGTCAGGGTAGGAAAATGTTAGTAAATTCAACAAGGCCCTAATGCACGCTCTGAATAAACAAAATCGAAATCTCAGCTCAAAAAGACAGCACATAATTTCTTAGGTTTTAATTCACTTCTTTATCTGAATTGTTTACAGCATGAAACGATTTTTGTTGAATACATGAACAATGCACATGTTATAAACAAACAAAAGAAACTTAAAAATGGAAAAATGATACTTGTATAAATAATTGAACTCTCAAAAACAAAATAACAATTATTCAAGTAGCCTGTGATTGCTCCTTGACACACACACTAATAACAAATTTCATTGAACAATCAATTTAATGCAAAATAAAAATAAAAATTGAATAATGAATAATTACAGACACGCGTCTAAAGGGACCAGCCCAGCAGCTTCTCTAATCTAATGCCTCATCGCTTCTTTTTTACCTCCCGTTCGGTTCGGTACTTTCGTTCTTCCCTAAACCTAAGCTCCGTGGCGCAGTACATGGTTGCAATATTTACTTATATTCAGTAAACGTTTTTTTAAAAAGTTAGGATTTAAAGAAATAATACTTTAAATAGGTGGTTTTCCTCAAATAGTTCCTAGGATACAGTTATTGTCTTCCTTTAGTTGTACACCAGGTACCTTAAACAACAGCAAAAATAAGTAAGTGTTGTTCTATAGAAGTATACCAACGGTTCAGCTGTCTATAAGACTGTGTTTTTAATCTTAATTACCCAGTTTATTTGTCCGATTAGGCAAGCGTAATGTTTAATTTACCTTGCTAATGTATGCTAAAGTTTTGTTTGTTTTCTTTGTTGGCCCACATTTTCAGGTTTGGTGACTGGAAGTGAGTTTGTTAGCTATTAAACTAAACAGTATTATCCTAATTTGATATCATACATTTAATCAGTTTTTTTTTTCTCAATTTTCATTTAAACCAAAAATTATATTGTGTATGTACCATATAAAATAAGATGCATGAATGTTCTACTGAATGTTATAATTCGAATAGCCCTATTTGTCTAGTCTATATAACCTGTGTCAAGTAGCGCTTGATCGTAGCTGTAACCCAGTGTGCGTTTGCCTTTTTTTTTTGCTGCTGCGCAGGGAGCGCACTCGCCGGGACCGCGCACCCTCTCCATGGGCGTCTACCCCATCCAGAATGTCGACTCGCGCATCTGCGACCAGCAGGATGTAAGTGTTTCGATGTTGTCATGATGTTAGTAAGCTAGGTCATATTATTGTTCTATGCACCAATAGGTTTTTTAGGAAAAAAAATTAGTGCATTAATTATTAGGCATTATTTCTAAGAATTGTATAATAGCGGCGCTGCAAAATAGGTGTGTTCTGTGTAATTGAATACTGGAAATTTAAATTGGCTGCGATGCGCTGTTGCCGAGTTCTCACTGTGGACCCCAATTCTCGGGAAGTGGTGAAAATATTCACCGATGAAAATTTCCACTAGTCCACCGGTTATTTGTATTCTTGAATCAGAGGCGAATCCGTTGATTGTGGAATGAAATCAAAATTTGGCAACGTGGGAATATCCGTTGATATTGAGAAGATAATTAAAAATGGACGCTTTCTAACCTCACAATTTAATGCCTATTTGAATGTTTACTCTTTGACCAACAGTTTTATTATATTCATTTATAAATTTTATTTTTCGACCAGGCCAATCAGGCTCAAATTCAAATAATTTAAATCAACATCATCATTATCAAAGGCATTAACTCGCTAACAAGTATTATAATACTCTTGACAGTATCATTATCTGTGGGTCTTTGATGGATAAACAAGCTTATCTGGATCCACAACTTTTCCCACATTGATTTCACACCTTGTCAGCGGTAGCCAGCCGTTGTTGTGAACCAGCTCTTATCAGAAGTTTTCGTTTGTTCTCAGCACCATTTTGTCATTCTAGATATATTCGCCGACCTTTTCTAACGAGAAAATTTCAATGGCAACTCTTCTACAGAGTGCCGTTTTAGTTTGACTCCCTTGAATGCTTGATAATATTTCCTGCATACCCAAATGTTGCATGGACCAGTTTCACTTTTACCGAAGCATTTTGTAAATATTAAAAATGTCCAACCAAATAGGAATAAGCATCAGTTTACTTGCCCATTCGCCTAAATTTTAGATAGTGCTTTAGGTAAAAAGTTAAATTATAATTAGTTTAGCAAACTATACTTGCACAATTTTTTTCTGTATCATTTGTGAATATATTAGGAACAATTTATATTTCACTATTTATTATTAAATTTGAAATATATACTGCTTATACGTTATTTGTTTAGTTTGTTTGCTTATAACATTGCACTCTCTATATGTACAGGATGTCCAAGATAAGGATGTCTATTATGGGGATCTCGTAAACAGTAACAGATACGGCAATGGTTAAATGGGAAAAAGTTGCGCTATTCAATGACTAACAAAATGCATCCAAAAAAAATTAAAAAAATTCGAAAAAAAAACGAAATTTTCTGAAATTCGGGAAATTTCGGTTTTTCATGAATATCTTCGGAAGTTTTCAGAATTTCCAATTTTTCTTGCATGCAAGTTGTTAGTCATTAAATAGCGCAACTTTTTTCCCATTTAACTATTTCCGTATCTGTTACCGTTTACGAGATCCACATGATAGACATCCTTATCTTGGACACCCTGTATACAATATTCTGACGTCAACAGAGCCAAACATTTACATTCAATCGTTTACTAGCTACATATCAAGATGATTTAAAATGCTATTTATGCATGTTAAATGTTTATTGCTTGTATATTATGTAGTGCAAACTGTGTAATTTATAGTTACAGGAGTATCCTATGGTTGATTTCCATTTATTTAACCTATTCCCTAACCATTTTGATTGTTTTGAATTTCAGACCCCCTCTTACCTAAGCCTAGCCAAATGGTTCCCGTTTTCCCATCCCGTATTTCACGATGAAGATTTGCATAGGAAGGCCCGCAAAATGGTATAAAAATTTTAATTTTATCTACGATAAACATGCGGACGAAAAGTGCCCACCTATCTTCCAGATTTATGTACTCTGGAATTTTACCGCTGTAGTCATTTTATATAAACGGTGTAATTCGGTAGATCATCTAACGGTGCTTTCCGGCACGGCTGCCAAAAACCTGCCGCACGAAAATAAACAAAACGAAAATAACAAACATGGCCAAAGCGCACCGGCCCGATCCGACACCGCGTGACTTTGGGAATTTTTTTAAGAAGTTCACATAGGCGTAGGATATAAAACCTCATAATGAGAAATAGCGATTTGTTCAATGAAAGTATCTTCTCCGACTCAAACTATTTATTGTTACTCAAGGAAAAAGGTATACTTTTTAATGGAAAGCTTTAAAATTTTGTTTTAAGGCGTCATTTTCTTGATCCATGGAAATTTTCCATTGATTTCTTTCATCCCTTAGTTATAAGCATAATTCATGCGACGTTATATTCAAGTTTAGCTGGGTTTTCTTGAACTCGCTTTGTCACGTAAGTCATTCCATACATTCAGTGTCCTCATCATCTTCTATTCTTTTATCTTCTGAAGATTCTTGTCTTGAAGAACCTTCTCCATCTTCGTCTTTTAAAGGAATTTCTTCACAACTTGCTTCTTCAAAATTTGAAAGTGATGGTTTTTGATCGAGAATAATATCTCTGGATCTAACTGCTTTATAATTGAATACCAAATGCAGTAATCATTATATTCTACAAGAATACCTTTGACGCAGCATTTTTGTCTAGCTTTCTTCCCTTTGGTTTAGGCCAGGTATATGGGAATAACACCATACTTCCGACTACACGAAGATGTGTCAAACATGGTTTCTCTCCATACCATACTTCATAAAGCAACTTGTTGCTTTTATTGGATACACCTGTAATATGTTACAATATGTAGAATGCAGTGCTCATTTCAGCCCATAGGCTATGAGGTAACCCTTTTCTTGCATGCATCATCGGTCTTGCTGTCTACAATGGATCTGATGCCTTTTTCCGAAGAACCATTTTGTTGGGGAGTGATGATTAATCTTTGATGAAATCCGTGCTTGTTTAAAACTTCTGTAATCTACTCATTCTGAAACTCACCTTCATTGTCCCACAAGAACTCTTTAGCGTTACTTCCAAAAATGTTCCAGGGTGTCTAGTAACTTTGGCTTTTTCCTTCATTAGAACACTCTACGGTACTTACTGGAGTGCGTTTAGAAATGGAGTGTGAATAAGGTAGAGTAGTTGTTTGTTAGAGTGTTCTGACGTCATCACTTGGAGTGCACTCTGGGTGCGCTATTTCTGAACGTATTCGGGCGTTGCAGTGAATGTCATTGTCATGAAATACGTCAAACCCGGTAAAAACCAATGGCATGTAATATTGACAGTTGAGGTGAAAAGGGCGCTTCTGTATTTGGAGCTCTTCAAATTTTGGCGCGTAAATAATCGATTGTAATTTTAACCTCAAAAGTTAAGCTTGATGTGTGGTTTCAAGACAAGCTGACGCTGACACTTAAAAATATTCTCTAAGGGTCACTGAACGCTTTGGAAGATACTTTAACTTATTCATTGTCCATTATTCATATGTAGTCATCTTTCCTTCTACTCAATTTAAGCGGTTTTAAACTATTGACATTTACCGCCAAACTTTAAAGCACTCCAAGGTCACTCGCCCCCTCTACAAAATTTTGGGGAACTTAACTGGATATTTGCTGCCATTTGTAAAAACCGCGGGGCGTTTTTCAACCCAGTTCCTGAGTGGGGTAATTTGGGCGCACTCTAGGCACGTCAACTCTCGATTTCTGGACGAGTCCAGCGTAACGCTCCGAGTAAGTAGCTGTTATAGCTATTTATGTACCAAGGGGATTATGTAGATTATAATGCCCGAAGGCGAAACTAGCCCGAGGGCCTATGGCCCGAGGGATATATTTCGCCTGAAGGGCATTATAATCTTGAAATCCCCGTGGTGCATACAATGCTTTATTTTCTACTCAACACAATGTTTTTTCATCAATTTGTACTTAACAAATTCAGTTAAACTTGTGTGACAGAATATTGTTTTGTATTTTGACATGTACTTGTACCTGTGACCTGTACCTGTACCTGCGACCTGTACATAGAAACGAAATAAATTAATATATCTATAAACATCTCATAAGGCAAGGCAACGGTGGTGGTCCTGTGGGTTAACGCGCTGGACTATATGGGAAACATTGATGGTAGACCGGGTTCGAATCCTGGCTAGACCGAAAATTATTTTCGGTCAGACATTTAGTGGCTGCCTAGGGTAAAGTGCAAATTAATAGAACAACAACAACAAAAACACCTTAAGGTATTATAAGCGGGCGTTATAGATCATAACGCCCGCAAAAGCGGGCGTTATGGATCAGGTTGTTATAGGTCTGTTAACGTATTTCGTTTCCTAGGTATTATGGATCTATAATAGTAAAGTAGAAAATAAATTTATGAACGGTTTAGAGTTACTCTAGGGTCACTCTCATACCCAGAGTGCTATTTCTGAACGCAACCCTTTTTAGATAAACGAGATAGACAAAAATACCCATATAGACCCTGAGATAGGGCCTGTTTAGTGGAGTCATTTTTTTTTGTCTGGCATTTTGAGGGATGAATGTGGTTAGTTAGCTGATGAGAATATAAGTGGTTCTAATGCCAGCCTCCTGTTCGAAATGTCCACAGAATTTTTTGCCGGAAAACTCGATTTCGAACTGTGATTACCGTCTGGCGATTTTTCAGCGTTATTTTTACAACAAAACCTTCCATTCTCTCGATTACCAGACAAAAAGTATACGCGGAAGGTTGTTTTCTTTTCTCTTGGAAGTTGACACTCATCCCCACTTTTTCAGCTATTGAAAAGCATCTGGTATTTTTTATGGGTGAATTATTCATCAATGTGAATCTTTTATTTAGAAGCCAAAAAATTTGAGATCATTAAAAAAAAAAATCTTCATGTAAATCAATTTTTTTCTTCTGCAAATTTTCGAATGGAAGGCAGGTATTAAAATCACCCATATTCTCATCAGCTTAGTAGCTACATTCAACCCTCAAAATGCGAGACAAAAAAAAATGACTTCACTAAACAGCCCCTATCTCACAGTCTAATAGCTTCCTGTCGTCTGATTCTAGAAACAAGGGGAGAATAAATGTTCACTCTCTGTCATTCATATAAGATTTTGCATAGAA